TGTGAACTTCTTACATGTCCTGGTTAAGTGATGTATCAGGCGGCAGGGTACTACGCATTAATGTCGGTGTTCCCGTACTTGGCAACATCAGCCGGTCCGGGAATCACAGATAAGGATTCCGAATCTTGCGAGGGCAGGTGGATCCAAGCACCACTTCTTCAGATGCAACACAGACAGCTAGCCTAGCCCCACGGACACGACTGTCAGCATTGCGCCTGCTGCCTCAGCAGCACTGAAGAAGGCCGACGATGCGCACCCTCATTCCAAGGCTTTCTGATCCGAACGCAGTCTGCATACTAGCTAGTGTAGGCACTGCAAGCGCTGCATTGTGAGATCACTCACGGTCCCGCTTTTACCCACCAAAACCTGCCTCAAAGCAGGTAATGCTTAAACACCCTGTTTTCAAAAAGAAAAATATCTTTTTGGAGGGCAATAAGAAAACCAGTTTTCCACGATGGGTTTGTACAGGTTTCGAATGAATTTGTACGGGCTTCGGGCTTATTACGAGTTTTGGACGCGCTGGAAATTGGCAACCTGGGCTTGGTTCCAGAAAATTGGTTTTCTGCAGGATATGCTTGAAATCCCGGCTGCTTCAGAAATACCGGCTTTAAACCAGGTTCTGGAAGCCCCAGAGATGGGCACAGCCCGGCTTTCTGAGCTCTGGAGGCAAATGGTTTAAGGTTTGGGGGTTTAGGGTTTAGGGGTTTGGGGTTTAGGGGTTTAGGGTTTAAGGTTAAGGGTTTTGGTTCCAATTTTACAAGAGAAGCCATTGGACTTACGAACAGGCTCGCAAAGGCATCTCCAGCAGCCGGCGACAACACTGGTTTTAATCCACAGCCATGTTATAGGGTCCAGAATTGTCTAAGAAATCACCACCTGCTGCTGCAGCAGAGCCCATTATTGTTGAGGGGGCCATCACTCTCCGCCCTGCTCACTTATTCATTCTCTCAGGTCTGTTTCTCTGAGTGTGGAGTGCTGTCATGAAATGAGCCCCGCAACATGACTTTTGGACCCTAGTATGGTACAGTATTGTAATTTCATACACTGTACCAGATGAACCTACGGATTTGTGAAAGTGGTCCAACATCCCCTGCACAAATGTTTTGCAGGAAATGAGTCCGGCCAGATTTCCCCGGGCCCCCCCACTGCCCTACCCCTCTTAGGTGGCTAAGTGGAAGGCGTGAGAAACAAAGAGCGACTCTTGATATCCTTTGTACATCCCGCGCTGGCAAACTTAACGTCAAAGAAGTCACAGTCGAGGCTGCTGGGAGGCTTCTTGCGATCTTCTGCTTCCATCCGCAGATGAAGCAGCATTTCCTCCCCAGGTAAACAATAAACAAGTGGCCTGGCCCCGAGCACAGGGCTGTCAGCATTGCGCTTGTTGCCTTAATGGGGGAGTGCCTGGCTGAGGACACAGAGCCAAGCAGCAGTGAAGAAGGCCGACAATGTGCACCCTTATTCCAAGGCTTTCCGATCCGAACTATAAGGCTGCATAATTACCAGGGCATCTAGGCATCTCAAGCACTGTCTTGCGAGATCGATCAATCACAGTCCTGGGCATAGCGGCTCGCGAAGGCGTTGCCAACAACACCATGCCATGTCCACACCAAAATGTGGCCTTCAGTAACTTCAGTCCCGTGCGTAATCCAGGATTCCGTCAAAATTTGTGGAGCAACTCTTGATGCCCTTCGTAGCAGGTGGGTTGGCAGCATTGCCAGCCAGGCACTCCAGGCCAATTATCGGCACAGCAGACCACTACTTACTGTTACCAAGCATCCAAGCATGCTGAGACTGCTTGCTCGCAATGCCTCACTACCTGGCAGTATAGATTCACAAGGGGGAAGCCAAGCAGCCTGACCGGTGGGGGTTCGAGGTATCGCCCAGGGTTTCGCCCACGGCATCGCCATGGGTCCTTGCAGCCTGCGCATCGCAAGACATCCTTGCCTGAATCTGACGTGCTTGCGGAATTGGCGGATTCTTTCTGGGATTTAGACCTGTTGTTATAAATTTTGGTCAGCTGTTTTCCACGAAACTATCACATGGCATGTCCTCTTGGTTTTTGACAGCGCCTACATGAGGAAGGCGGGTTTGGCTATGACTGCCTCGGACAAAGTCGAAACAAGGAGCTCCTTGCCGGACGCCTGCCCCCGCTGCAATGGTTATGTGTTTGGGGTTGGACTTTGGTGAGCGCCGGATCCGGAAGTTTTTTGCTTCCAGATGTCTCGGAGACTGACAGACCGCTTGCCGACAGCTGTCACCTGCGGAAGGCATGCTGAGAGGTGCAATTTCTGCAGCAACACAAACTGTACAAACTGCAGCCACGGAGGTGCAGGCTGTGCAGGGCATTGAAGGCGCGAAGCTCTTGGCCCAAGCTCTTGGCCTGCTCTAAGGCCCAGGCATCCTCGGCTTCAGAGCGTAGAATGAGAGCAAGCCCTGCCGTGGACGTGGGCCAGGTTACACCTGTGCTCGGGACATGCGGGCCGCATGCGGGGTGCTGTGCTTGGGGTGCACTTGCCACCTTCAGGTGATGTGATCAGCTCGAACCGCGTCGAGACCCGATGATACCAACACGCAGCTTACTGAAGACTTTCAGGTTGCTTTCCAATTTTCAATGCATCTGCGCAAGTATGACTTGCCTTGCCACGGCCTGCTCCCAGATTCCTCGCTGAGCCGCGCTTGGTATCTTGTCTAACGAGTCTAGTGACCAAGCAGCCGCAAGACACATCCAAGAAGGATCTCCAAGTGAGTGGCGCGGCCGTACTCAAATGCACATCTTCTGCACCGCTTGTGTGGCTCAGTTGAGCCTCTGCCCCGAGTAAGTGACATGGCCTTTGCGTATAGCCTGTAGCGATCAACAGCTGGCAAGTCAGGTCTTATGGCCTGCGAGTCGTCACCCTCGCACATCTCCGGGCTGATTTGTTTCAGGTTTGCACATCTTGGAGGGCATCAAGATCTGACAGCTGACGCGGTCCTTGCAGGCATACGCTCGCTAGATGCCAGAAGCCGGATTGCCGCCGCATGCCGTGGTGGGCTGACAAAGTTTGCTCTTTGGACTTCAGGCGCGAACAAAGTCTGCTGCTGCTGCTTCTGTTTAGAAAGCTGGCAGGGTGCAAGACAAGAATAGTGATATGAGAACACAATCCCTAGCTCATAATACATCCCCTTATTCTCTATATAACCCCAATATAGTAGTTTCCATTTTCTTTTCCATTATCCCCCATATAACCCCAATATAACCCTAACACCCATGTCAGGTAGGCGGCTTACTAAGTAAGTTGAGTTTCCTTGCCATGGTTGGAGGCTCATCTCAGCTTCTGCGTGTTCATTTGAGGTAGCTGCTGGCAACAGCAAAACAATATGGTTAAGGGTTTAGGGGTGAAAGTGGTCGGGGGCAGCGATGAACCTATAAATGAAGTTGTTGAAAGCCCCCTCCAAAATGGTGAGATCCTGCCACTTTTGCCTCTAGTGCTCATGTAGGACAGCGCAAGAAACCACTGGAAACATTTTTGTCGCCCGTCCCTGGCCCACGAGCAAAAAAAGAAAGAAGGCTACAAAAAAGGGCTGGAATGCGAGTTCGCAATCACTCCTATATTGATTCCCCCACTTGACTCAAAAGGCAATCAACCATTGGCAGGCAAGTTTGCTTGGCAGGCGACTTCGCTCTATCTGAAGGCTCGCGCAAGTGTAGCTAATGTGGGCATGGGTTCCTACATCCTTAGCATAGCAGGGTCACTTGCAAGAGAACCACCAAAGAGGAAGCATGATTTTCCGAGCATCCCCATCATTTACCTATATCCTCGAGAAAAAAGTCCCATCGTAAGGCTGAAATTCCTGGGGGTTTGCAACTTGCCGGAATGTTTAAAGTGCAAAGGCTACTTAGGCAATTGGTTTGTTTGGCCCCTTTCGGTTTCCGGGTAGGGGTTTGGGTCAACCGTCATGCGCTGGATGTAGATCAGGATTTATCAAAGTAAGCTCTCATGAAAAACCATCCAAACACCGAACACTAAACAATCTGGCGATCTGACAGGCTGTAGGTACACGAGCTACACATGTATATATATGTATATCTATAGTGAAACTCCCAGGATCCCCCTTAATAACCCCTATTCTATCCCCTATATAGTCCCCTATATATTCCCCTTTCTATAAGCCCCTTCAAGGATTTAGATTGTAGCTCATATTGGGAAAATGAGGATGGGCTCTTTGAGAAGCTCTCCACATCGCGTCTACGCGATGCGAAGCTTAGTCTGTTTCGGCAGAATTTCGCATAATGAAGCCAGCACCGGGCTGAAATACTGTTGTAAGGACATCTCAGACAGCCCAGCGGCTCTATCAAGAAAGGTACCTTAGATCCCATTCGGGTTTTGACAATGACAGGTTGTTTGCAGGCCTCTTCCTTATTTTTAGGGCATGTCGGGCTCCATGGGCATGCCCGCATGATTGCGAGCCTAGAAATGCCACAAATTGACCATCTGTTGTGCTGTACTACATGTACAACTGGGCCAGTAGAAGAACTAAAACCTTTTTGGGCTTCTTCTTGGGGTCTCTAACAATAGTAATATTCAAGTTTAAACTGTTTTAGCCCTGGTTATTGGGGAAGAGAGGATATCGCCATAGTTCTTTGGCCGGCTGTTGCCGTGACTGCTGCTGTTGCGAGGTCCACTCGAGCCTTTCGGCCACTATACCTAAATACCCTAATATTGGGATAATGGAAAAGAAAATGGAAACTACTATAGTATATTGGGGTAATATTGGGATAATGGAAAAGAAAATGGAAACTACTATAGTATATTAATGGGTTTCTGGGGAACCTAGATACCCTTGCTAAATGCTGCCATGCTACCAGGACTTTCATCTTCAGGGCTTGTGGCTCGCCACGCTAGTGCGTACGATCCATCCCCTGCATTGAAAGGACCTGCATAGGAACAGCCATCTGAGTATATAGAGGGTTCTTATGAGATGAGAAGCTCCAGCAGAACCATAAGACCCCCTATCGAGACATGTCTCCTGCGCTACGAAGCTATGGTGATTTTTATGCTATCCTTAAGGTGAGTCCAGAGGCAACATTCGCTGAGATACGCACTGCATATCGGCGGGCAGCATTGCTCTCACACCCGGATAAGGGTGGCAGCCAGGAGGATTTCGTGAAGGTTGCTAAAGCTTTCGAGGTCCTCTCTAGGGTCGGAGACGATCATGCAGGAAGTCGTTCAAATGGGGCTTGCAGCCGGCAAGGGAAGCGCAAGGCTCCAGCCGCAAATGCAGGTGAAACTAGAGTTGCCAGCCGATCACGGAGTTTGCTGGATGCTTTGGAGCGACTGCAGCAGCTGCTGCAGAGACTGCCCGCTGAAGATCGCCGAGAGATGCTGGCGTCCCTTTCTGAACCTATCCGAGCACGTCTTCTGGAATTTGTGCATTCGCGCGCTGCACCAGATGACTGTGATGGGCATGGTTCGGCTGCAAAAGGCCACGACCACGAGTCAACTAATGAAAGGTGCACAAGAGCAGATGGCACTGATGAGCATGACCACGAAGCACAAGACCACGGGTCAGACGATGCAGAGGACAGTGCAGACCAAGGGCACAACAGCGACAGCGATGGAGGTGAAGTGCTCGAGATTGAGGACCAGGCATGTTTCTCAAATTAATCCTTCCTCCCAATCCTTTCCTCACCTCACGCCTGAACCTGACACCACCCCAGAACCTTACGCCGTGAACATTCATCTGAAGTGAGAGCCTTGAGGATGACAGCGAGCATTCTGATGAGTCCGAGCAGGCTAGACGACCTGACGTAAATGAAGGGCAGCGCAATCGAAGAACGCCACGCGGTGTCGAAACGTGTTTGGGCAGCAACAACTGCTCGATGTATCGTGCGCATGTGTCAATTCTTCAGCTTGGCTGCACGACCCGTTACCAGCCCTCACTGGACATTGCCGTAGAGCAGCACATCACGCTGGTACTTGTGCGCCGTCTTGTTCTGCAAGGTGCTGTCAGAAGAAGACCGTGGCAAACAGAAAGCGACTGCATTCTCACAGCTTTTCAGTCTGTATGTGCCGAGGTACATCCTTGGAGGAGCTGGGCCTGAGAGCACGCGTGCGGCTTGTGCTCATGGACCGCCGGACAGTCCGTTGCCATGGCATCCAGGGGGGCATGGAAGTAGAAGTGCGATCCCACTACATGCTTATGGAGGAGGCTCTGAAGTGGCGGCAGCGTTTGATCGCAGGACGGATCTCTGGCTGGGAAGCATTCAGTGCTGTGTGGGTAGAGATCCTTGGCTGCTGATCTTTTTTGGGCGTATAGAAACGCTGTGCAAAGTCGTCCTACCTCGAGTCTACATGTTTGTGTGCCTACGGCCATCCTTCATTCAGATAACTTGAATATGAAAAGCCCAATGAACTCGGGATTACTCTGAGGATTTCCATCGCCAATCTACATCAAAACTACTGAGCATTCTACATTACACTGCATATAAATGTGTAGTGTATATATATACAGTAATGTAGTATGCCACATTATGTCTTTGGCATGATTAGTACATCATGAAAAACTGTCCTGCAGACGTTGTTTTCGGATTTGTCTAAGATGGAAGAACAACGTAAACGCACAAACTGTAGCAGAGTTGGAATGGGTTCATATGGATATGATTTGCTACAATGCAGTAGAACACAAAGTTCTTCATAATGTAGATCCCTGATGAAGAAACCCCATCCTAAAACCTTGATATTAGGATCCTTCTTATAATGCCCATGAAGGGGAGGGGGTTGGGGTTTACAGTACTGTTTATGTTCAACATGTCGGCCGGCGGATTGCTAGCAACTACTTCCGATGTCCTTCAGGGGAGGGTCCAAGCGGTGTGGGTAAGATCAGAACCCTTGAGGAGTACTGTAGTCTCCTTAGGAATTGCTTTCATATTTGTTATAGTATCACCGTAAGGAATTATTCAAAATGTTTGTTTTATGCTGTTTCTAGTGGAAATTGCAAAGTACTGGGGAGGAAACCTTAAACCCCCAAAAAACACCAAAAGTATTTCTTATAATATCGTTCTAAATGGCATTAGTTCAACCCCTAATGAATGCATGGAAATCAATCGATCGACCCAGGCTCCTGCAGCATCCGGACAGGAGGTACTTTGGTAAGCGCTTGACTGCAGAGAAGGCGTGATCCGATCCTTGGGTACAATTTTTACGGGAAGTCAATACTAGCAGTAGCAGTATCCTTGGATGGACCATATCATAGTGCCATATAAGGACTGGGGCAGGCATTATGTAGGGAGCTTTCTTAAACGAGAAACATGGAATATTCAATGAGGTTAGATTCATTAACTCGTGATGCTGTTGTGTCTTGGTAGCATGGCGGCATTGCGAGCTGTTGTTAACAGAGCAAAGAACTCTGGGATGCTGGTGTCACAATGATGATGATGAGAATGAGAATGAGCATCATCATAGTGGGGGCTGGCAAAAGGTAATGAGGTCAAGCATAATAGGGATTAGTTGGGAAGAATTCTCGCCTGAACAGGCTGGGGAGACTTGGAGGAAACCTTGTCTCTTTGCCATATTAGCTATAGTCTAAACTCCTTAAAGGGGGTTACATAGGGAATTATGTAGGGGACTAATATATGGGTTATGATACTAGGAGTGTAGACCATGGCTCACATGAGCAGAAGCATCATCATTCGAAGCCGACAAAGACCCTGGAACAGGAAGGCAGCCAGTGGACAGTGCGATTGGGTAGGACTCTGGTATTACGTAACGTAGATTCAACAGTGAAACAAGTAAAGGTGGGGGATGGGGAGGATTTGCTATTTGCAGGCTGCAGACTATATTCAGCAGCGATGGGAGCTTCTGCAGCCTCATTGGGAACGAATGCAGCAAGAGCGCTGGGTCAAACCTGACAAGGACATCGAGCTAAGCCGATGCAGGAGGCAAATCAGGAGCGCCGCACGTGCTGTTAAGCGTGGTTTGGAGGCGGAGGCTGCTGTTGCCCGGCGTGAATCCCTCAGACTGGCTGCAAAGCAGCGCGATCTCCGAGAACAGCGCTGGCGTTGGCTAAGAAGAAGTGATCTCACCATGGACGAAATGATGCAAGGCCTGCCTGCGCACCTGCGCGGGGATGTGGGTGGCGACGGCTGAGTACATGTGCAAGATGCCCAGAAATCCCAGAAAAGATTACCAGTCTCGATAGCTTCGTCATCAACAGCATCACAGGCCATGAGGGATTACGCGGTAAGATTTTTACAGACCCCAAAGCACGGACCCCCAAAATGGTACCCCTGATTTTCCAAACCCCATATGGCCATATGGTAATTGTACGAATGCGCAGGCAGCTCCTGGATACAGCTGCATGTCGTTCTAGTGACCATTTTACAGAGCAAGTTCGTGTCCATGAGGACCCAGAGATATCGCTGTGCTGGTCCGATTTGTAGGTCGAACTCTACCAACCAACGGCTTCCGCAGCGAACAAGAGACCACATGGAAATAGGGCTCCCGCACTTGCGCCACAAGACTCTTCCCAGAATACTTGGCTTGAGATCCTTCAGAACTTCAGGGCCATAAGCTGGGTTGCTGTTAAGGAACTTAAATTCAGTTACTATATTGGGGAAACCCTATTATTTACTATATATACCCATTATGGTAACTTTATTTAAGTTCCTTATCAGCAATATAGTAAGGGCCAGCACATATCAGGGCATGGAGGCCGGAGCCAACTTTGAGGCTCTTACAGAGTTCAAGCGCGTAGTTTCTTGGCATGCCTCCGGGTGTGAGGCGAGTTGGTTGACAAAGGATCTTACCTGAACACCAAAAGCATTTAGGGCTATTTATGGGGATCTGGGGCTATGATTTTACCTACTTTTCGGGTTCAGGTATCCATCATTTTTCGTGACAGCTTCCAGAGGTCACCATATTCGGCACTTGGCTGGCGAGAAGTGGCCTCTACACAATGTCCCTACCAATCCCCGGATTCATAGCCACACTAAAACCGTGAGTTTGTGGCCTACATCTGTCCATATGCACAAGCTTCGTAAACGCACCTATTGACAGCTTGTAGATTGCAGCATACCCACCCCCGTGCTAAGCAATGGTTGCCATCCCCAGAGTTTCAAAGAGAGGAAAGGATCCTGAAACCTTCAAAAAGCCAGCAGCCGAGCCTACGGAAGAGCCAGGTCCCCTTCGCAGTGTTCTGGAAGACTTTCCATCAGGTACAGAATCGCATCGGAGGCCAGGAGTTGCCGGAACAGGTCGTTTGCAAGCACATTTTGGGTGTGAGGTTGTCCTGCTCCATAGGAGTATGCTCTTGGAACACGAACGGAATTATGGTTTGGGCATAGATGCTCTGGTCACCATATGCTCTTGGAACACGAGCAGAAATATGGTTTGGGCATGAATGCTCTGGTCACTGTATGCTTTCGGAACACGAACGGAACTATGGTTTGGGCATGGATGCTCTGGTCACGGTATGCTCCCGGAACACAAACGGAATTATGATTTGGGCCTGGAAGCTCTGGTCACCGTATGCTCTTGGAACACGAACGGAGTTATGGTTTGGGCCTGGAAGCTCTGGTCACCGTATGCTTTTGGAACACGAAGAGAAATATGGTTGGGCATGCATGCTCTGGCGACCGCATGCTCTTGGAACGCGAACGGAACTATGGTTTGGGCATGGATGCTCTGGTCACCGTATGCTCTTGGAACACGAATGGAGTTATGGTTTGGGCATGGATGCTCTGGTCACCGTATGCTGTTGGAACACGAACGGAAGTATTGTTTGGGCATGGGTGCTCTGGTCACTGTATGCTCTAGGATTACGAACTCTAGTATGCTTTTCGTATGGACGCGCCCGCGATCGTATGCACGACATTATGGTTTGAACATTCCCCGATCTTATAAGTACACCTGCCCAGCATTTGTTCACTGGCATCCAAAATGGCTGCCTGGAACACTCCACAAATGACTTCCAAACCCTCAAATCCTTTACAAAGCTCTGAAATTCCCAGGTTTTTTGTTCAACCTGCTTCCTTTTAGGTGGGTAGTTCCAAGCACATGATTCAGCCGCACATCGGCAGTATATATCTTCTATCCTCCCAATATGAGCCGCATGTGAGAAGCAACTCCCCAGCTGCAATTTCGTTTTGTCCAGCGTTTCTGGACAAATAGTAGAGGGCTCAACTGAGCTCACCACAATATCTACAGTGTCCATAACCCAGGATTACAAAATTATTCTGAGTTGAAGGGGGCTTAGGGGTCTTGAGCCCCGAATTCCTTGGCGGGAAACCCAGGCGATCATGGAGGCCTACAGGCAAGATTCATATCTTCACGCCTTGCATCTTCAGGCTTTAAGTAGTAAGCTGGCTTAAAATAGAAAGATGAGGCAATCATTTCAAACAGGGGGGTCCATGTTGGGAGTCCTTGTCATCGGTACTTCTTTTGCAGCACTTGGAGAAATCTAACCGCCCCCACCGTGCGGAAATCGCTCTGCTACGGTGAGCCGGGCCTGCTCTATGTGCTCAAGAAGAGTCTGTGCTTCTGGCTTGGGATATGTATCTATCTATCTAGGTAGGATTGTTGAGGTATGTCAGGACTACACCAATGAAAGTGAGCACAACAATATCCAAAGCTCGCATGCCAAATTTTGAAATAGCCCACATTGTACGTACACTTGATGGCAAACCGATGGAGAAACTGCATGTGAAGTTGAACTAGCCAATGTCAACTGGATCAGGCTACCGAATAACAATTGAGAGTCAAATAGAAAAGACCCATGACAATGAAATGAAAACTGGGATATAGGGACGCAGAGGGCTCAAAGAATGGACTCTCGCCCAGTTGCTGCTTCCAATGCTGCGGCCATCGGCCATGCCCCTTGATCCGCATGAAGTCGCCTCGCCACGAGGCCACAACATAAGCGTCTCAACCTCCTCAATCGGAGACGTTAACAGGGAACAACTTGCTTGCTTATTGTAAGTAGGACATTTGGATTTAGGGTTGGAGTCAGGTCCAGAGCGTGGGGTCAGGATTCCTGTCTTGATAGAGCTTTTGATGACTTCAATTGCTAGCCAGGGCCTGGAGAAGAAATTGAGGTCACACGGGACCATTGGGGTTGTTTGGAGGCATCAAACCTCAAGGACCTCAACTTAAAGAGACCGTACTTACAGATGCTTAGTTAGGCACGTTGGAATGGGCTAGGGAGCAGAGGGATGATCATGGGAATTCTATAGCACTTGTCACCTGTTTCCAACCAAGCAGTGCTTCACATGAGTAAAGCCACGTTTGCATCTGGAAAAAATTGAGAGGGCAAGACATGTTATACAACGCAGTCATGCCACTGCCAGACACAGTCACATACATTTGTTACCTACGCCCTGCATTGAGTTGGCAAAGCGTGAGATGCTTAAGATGCTGCAAGACTGGTAGGCGTGTCTACCCATGAATCTTCATGGCTAGGTTGTTTCACTGACACGTGCCACCCGCATGCTGGCAGCCCCTTTGGGCTCAATTAGTTTTAGGCACTGTCTCCAGAGCCGGCTCTTCGAAGAAGAGCTGCAGGAGCTGATGAAGGCCACGCACAGCTTCGGAGACCAGGTCCGACCTTGTGCCTGCTTATCGTCATGCCATGCCACAGACAACGAGATCTTAGATAATGGTTTTAGTGGAAGCAGACCCAGCCCTGCACCCGTACCAGAAAGCTTCTCCATCTTTGAGCGCAAAAGCCCTGGTGATCAAACCTGGTCCTGTGGTGTATGCTCATCCTGTCAGACGGATCAGAAGGAGGGATTTGATGTTCACATCCCGGAACTGCCACAAGTTGAGTTTGGGGGCAAAAGCGATCTTTCAATTGCGCCGTCTGCAGCTTGTTCCCGGCCCATACCAGAGGGCTTCAACCTCCCCAAGACAGAGCTCTTCTGGACCAATCAACGTGGGCACAAGCTCCACATCCGCCACTTTGAGCACGAGAATCCCTTGGCTCTGGTGGTTCTCATTCATGGCTATGGCGCTCATATGAACAGTCCGCATGTGTACCAGACATCCTGTCTATATGCGAAGTCCCTGGAGGCAGAGATTATGACCTTCGACATGCAGGGTCATGGCTACTCGGAAGGGCCGCGTGGTGCCGTGGCCAGTTTCGATGACATGGCCGAGGACGTAGAGTCGTTTATGCGGCTGATCTACACTGCGAGAGAGGCCAAGGGCCAAGACTTTCACCTTTGCCCATCAGACGCCCTTCAAAGGATGCAAAAGCTACCCTTCGTTTTGGGTGGTGAAAGCATGGGCGCGGCTGTTGTTCTTCTTGCAGGCTTGCGCCTGCAGGTGAAGCCCATCCCAAACGGGTGCTTTGGTGGGGCCGTGCTTCTGGGCTGCTGTTAATGAACTTAAATTAAGTTACCATAATGGGTATATATAGTAAATAATAGGGTTTCCCCAATATAGTAACCTAATTTTAGTTCCTTAACAGCAACCCAGGCTTCCTGCCCCCGCAGTGCGGGACCCGAGCACAGGCAAGGGCCCTACCTTGCTTACGCGTTCACTCTGCTCATTGGTGCGGTTGGCACCCGCTTTGGGTGAAGTCGGGGTGCCGAAAGCATTTCTCCCCAAATTCACGGGAGCAGCCATTTTCGAAGATGCCACTTTGGCAGATCACTTCGATCGTGACAATAGCGGATCTCAGTCAGGATCCCTCGGCTTTCTACACACGCCAATGAATGCACGGACCGGCACAGCTTTCGTGGAGATGTTCCAGAAAATGCCTACGGTGCTGCCCATGGTGAAATTTCGAGTCCTCATCTTCCACGATCCGAAAGACTCCATTATTTCCTTCCATAATGCCGAGTCTTATTGAGTGCTTCAGTATAGGGATAGGGACTTCAAGAACACATGACTAAGCAGTCCTCGGGACCCGTAGCATGGACACTCTGCGTTCCTGGTAAGGAGTGGATCTCGGAACTCATTGCGAGCACAGACAAGAAGCTAGTACCAATTCCTGGAGGCTTGCATGCACCGCATTTCAACAGACTTGACGTAGTGCTGCCTCACTTCCGCGACTTCTTGCTCCGACAGGTGGGTCTGAAATCTGGGATGTGCCTAAACCTACGGGGGATAGCAAAAGTCCTGCATGACCCTAAGCACCTTATACCGATCAATAATGGTTCTACAGCGTACAACAACAACTTCGGGGGTACGAGGACACTCGAAGGGAAGCGTAGCTTTGGCACACCCAGATTTCTAGTTTTCCTTCATGATCGTAACATGTTAGATTCCTTCCTGCCTTCTAAGTGGCAGTATCTCGGGTCCTTTGGAAGAATCCCTATTTTTTGCAGTTCTACTGCAGTTCTAAGGTGAAGAAGGAGACCTCATCAGAGTCCGCTCTTGGAGAAGAAGGCCGTCAAAATCCGGGTGCAGATGCTGAGACTGCTTTGACCAACGCCATGTCCAAGTGGCCAGCACCCGCAAGGACTGCTCCTGAGGCAGGCATTCCTCCAAGAAGCTTACTGGGAGTTAGTGGGGAATATAGGAATATGTTATATAGGGATTATAGAGGGATTATATTCCCTTATTCCCTACTGAGAACCAGTACGGAAGGGTCCCCATGACGCATATTGTACGTTCTCCAAATGCCAGAGAATGCTTCTACCCCTTAGCCATGCATTTATGTTGTCCCCAATTGAGGAAGTCACTCTTAACTGGGATTAGCTGCAGCGACCCCAAGGTGTCCTTGCTCTTCTTGCTTGCCTATGCGGTCTGCTGTACTTCGCCATTGTGGGTTTGGGCTCTGGGCGAAGGTTGGGCAGGCATTTCGGTGCTAGCTGTCCTCGAGGCTACATTGTTCCTTCTCTTCGCATGTGCCTGGATCATGTGTTAGGAAAGAATCCATGTTTTCGAGATTCATGACTCCCGCCTGGATCTTTCATTCTGTGTTTGGCATGAACCCCCTAAGTGAACCCATAAGAAATGGAAGCTTCATCTCAGTAATAACACCCTGCAACAGTCAACGCCAATTCAACCAGGCACTCTCCTGGCCGCCATGCGGATGACTCGGCTTCTGCGTGCAAGCAACCAAAGGGCGGCCTCTCCCTCGCAGAGCCCGGAGGTTGGGACCTCTTCACAAGAAGAGCACAAGCAGCAAGGGCAACAGTAAGAAGAACAAGCGCCAAAAAAAATGGATCCGGTTTGTTGGTATGCCTTCGAATCTATGGATGATGCTTCTTCTGTCTACAGTCCCCCTTAATTAGATAGAATATGGCTTTGGGTATGTTAAAATTAGATCCCATTAGATCCCCATATACCCCATATTCTATCTACCTAAGCCCTTTAGGTTGCTACCTGGCAGCACCTCGTGTGCGTGCCTGTTTACAACGAGCCAGACGAGGCGCGCGTGTGCTTAGGAAGATGGGTGACGTTTTCGGTGCGATGACCCAGGGTTCATGGGGTCCGGTGAAGTCTTTACGTATGTTATTCAGGGATTTAGGGTTTAGGATTTAGGGTTTAGGGTATTCAGGGATTTCTAGGGCCAGTGAGAGATGGAGTCGAATCTCCACAGAGGAGGCCATCATGTGCACACCTGATGGCCTCAAGGGGGAATACCTGGTTCTGGAGCCTAATGACTCTGAACCTAGGACGCTACTCTGATGTCCACAAGCTGGTTTTCGATCAACTGCCACATTGTGCCTAATAGGGAACAGGGAGTTCATTGGCAATAAGTCGAAGAGGTATGGTAGATGCATACCCTCCTCCTTTTTCAAGATCTGGCGCTTACTGAATATGAAGACTACGAAATTGTGTGGTTATATAGCTACGATTGGAATCCATTCCTCCAATCACCACTGACGATCATTAAAAGAAGATCCAGGTTGTGTTGGCTACGCTGAGCGGACTGAACAAGTCTGCGGCCGCCCCTCGAATGCGGGTCGTCTTCGCCATGGAGGAGCAGAGAGAATTTCTGGAAGCCTGCGCTTCCTTTTCCCAACAGAGCAAACCTAAATACAAGTATGTGGCTTCACAGAAGTGGCTGAAAGGAAGGTTGAGTGAGAGGTTCACTAGAAGTTGGGGCCATTTAGAGCAGGCAACCCGACTGTTTGGGCTACAGGGCTATATGTTGGAGAAATGATCCCTAAATTGGATTTTCCTATCAGACAGCTGTTGCAGTCTGTTTGCTAATTTGCCTGCAGGGTTTCCGAGACTCGTAGTACCTTAACGGGGATATATAGGGTTATGTAGGGATATACGGGTTTAGGGTTTAGGGTTAGTGGAGTCCTGTTTAGCCAGCTAACATCACGAGTCTGGGTTCAAAAAGGGTTTGCCAATCCTAGCACAGATAGTTGTGGCTGAAGATTTGCAGGGCGCAGAGCTTGCAGTACTCTTAGCCAAGAAGCGGCCACCCAGCCCTTTCACCCTCAACCCTAAACCCTATTCCATTGGCGGGAATACTTCCGAGATGCCTTATGCAGAGAAGATGCATTGTCAACATGCATTGTAGAAATTGAAGTGAAGCTCCTGGTATAGTGCGGGTTGCTGTTAAGGAACTAAGAATGAGGTTACGACGATGTGCCCATATGATGGTGGCTTGAAGTAAGTTCCTTCACAGCAACCTTTAGTTCAATAGCAATGCAAACAAGACGATCTGCACGTTCCCAAAAGCGGCTAAGACATTTGGAGCAATGAGGACTCGATTAAAATGAATTCCTGTCAAGGAATTTAATTAAATAGAAGTTACCATATCATGTGCATATAGAAAGTAATACGCCTTCCTCATTAGAGTATTCTGTAAGGTTCCTTAGTAGTCATCCAGTAAAGTGGCCCAAAACTTCATAGGAGACCGTGTGACCCGCGCAAAACCTGAACTCGTCAAAACACACCCAAAACGCACACATGAACTCCTTAGCTATCACTACTATTATTGCGAATACTCCTGTTCTTACTATTAGTGCTGTTATTCCTATGATTAAAGAGCATCACGTGCAGGAGGCCACTGACAGAGTTGACGAGCGCTTTGAGCGATACAAGCAATGTTTCCAGTTTGCACTCAGTACTTTTTTCTTACTGGGGGTCAGTAGGGAACATGGATATATATATATATGTATATGGGCTTCCATGTAATACACGGATAATGTTCCCTTATTGCCTACTAAAAGCCAGCTAGTCTTGTATGTTTCAGGTCGAAGTTAGGCGTTGGAAGGTTTTGGGCTTTCGCAGGAGCCGCTCAACGGCCACAACTTTCGGATCCTAGAACTGTTGTTGTTATATGAGCTACAGTCTAAACTCCTTAATGGGGGTTATATAGGGGACTACTATAGGGGTTATGAAGGGGGATACTAGGAGTTTAGACTATAGCTCATATGTTGTTATGCTCATCGAGCTCTTGAGGAATCCTCACCTCAGCCGCACACCGGACTCTATTTCAAACGGACTTAGGAGCTTGGACTTGAAACTACACAAACATCCACTCGTAATCCTTGCAGCCCTGCCAAATGTCCGGTGAGAGCAGGAGAAGACATGCGTACTCATTAACAACATAACCTTTGCGCCCTACGCGCATTTCCTTCCTGAAAAGAATGCTCTGAGACAGGATGCCCTGTCTCAATTCACAATTTCTCATAGCACAACAGTCCTTTCGGTGAGGCTTATCGCGCATCCCGGAGGTGTGCCGCTACGTGCACCCTGTTGGCGCGGTGCAAGGTGAAGTCCGAGGTTTGTGTTCCAACCTGGCACATGCCATGTCCGTTGATGTCCCTAAGCTGGTTCATCGGTGCAATGGTAATGTGGAGGCTTTGTCCAAATATGTGTTCACCAAACTCGACTCCCAAGTGCATCTCCCTCCGAACTACTTCGAAGAGCTGGAAATGTCCTGCCAACGAGTGGGTCGTGAGGCCGTTGTATTTCAGCCTCTCCCGGTCAACCTGGTGAACCGACAGCTTAGTCATGGCCCAATGCGGGCCATTGCAGCTGCTCGGACTTTCTCCTACCCAATTCTTTTTGCCTTGAACCTTATGACCGTCACCTGCTACAGTGTGCCACTGGTTCAGTACATGAAGATGGGCCTGACTCATGCTGGCTACCTTGGTGAGGATCCTGGTTCACGGTTTGGGTTTTTACTCGGATTTGGCTGAGGATCCTAGGTAAGTTCTATTCATATTTCAGAGACATGTTCCCTTTGTCCAGGTCCAACATACCACCTTTATGCAACCACGCAAAGTGTTGATAACGTGCTTCAGTACAAGTCCTGTCAAGGAGCGTTTTGGGGACTACCCTAAACCTTTCATAATCCCAGTTTACACTTAATTCTCCATCTCCATCTCTTTTCCATCTGATTCTCCAGTATTGGGGTTACGTATCCCATACGAGGACATGATGATGCTGGCACAGGCGGCCTCAACAGGCAGGGGTTCGCTGAAGCATAGCCCCTTCAAAACCTGTAGCCAATGCTACTGGGGGGGACCGTGAAATAAGCACAAACACCTCAACAACTAGAACTTTTGATCCTTAACACAGAACTGGTGCCCAAAGGCCCCCACGTCCCTAGAATGTACCGGAATATAAAATCTGCCGCCAACCCTCGGGTTTGAGTATGACAAAAGGCACAAGACGTTAAGGCAAGCATATCATCAGTTGGGCAAGAACTAGGCAGAGAATTACAGCGATGTCCACCTGCTGCTGTAGCTACCACCTTGCGGCTTCCCTTGACCTGTCTTCTGTAGCATGCCATTATGGCTGTGTAGGGGGTAGCTTGCACGATATGTGTAAGGATATGTCATGAATACATTGTGGGTTGTAATAAGCCCTAGTCAAACTCCCAGAGTGATCCCCACAATTACTTCCCACTGGTAAGTTTATCCAGGTGGTGGCCGCGCTCGTATTGTCGTGCTTCCGGTTCTGGTGGGGGTTGCACCCCCTGTGGGCACTACATTGCATCTGGGGACTTTTTGAGATTGCTTTTCAAGGTTGCGAAGGAGATTTCCATAGATTAGGGGTACCTGCAGGTCTATGTTGGGGTCACCGATTTATAGGACTGTGCAGACGTAGTTGTGGCGCACTTTTCAGGTGTGGGGCTATGAAGGCAGCAGCCCATCAGAGTTTGCGCTGGGCTGGTCAGACAGCAGAAGTAGCCGAATTCTGTTGGCGGTTCAAGGCTTGGGGGAGCGCTTGTCGAAATTTGTGGTGGCTGCTGAAATACTGGCTGATACGGTGCTGGCTTTGTTCTGGCATAGGGCTGTTCAGCTTCCTCCTCCTCCTGGCCGCTTACACTTTTGGTTCCAACCTACCTGAAGAGCAAGCAACAATGCTCTCCGTTATGGAGAAGAGCATGTCCGCACTGGTACTGACACTCACCTTGGTGATGCCCTTCTATGAGCAGTACCTGGCATCACTTGTTTTAGATAGCACCTTGTCAGCTCCTCTGAGCCAACTCCCTGGAACCCTGTTGGGGGCTCCTGTGGGATTTCCATTCAGTTTTGCTTGCGACCTGCTGGCTTGGATCAATCTCCTAGCCTTCGGCAAACATGCAATAGCATCCTCATCCAGAAGGAAGGTGGCTGCAACCAATCAGGCACCTCCATTCTCAGATGTTTGTCCGTCCACTCTTTGACACTTGCCAAGCTCAGAGCCTTTGAGTCGGACCCTGAGGGTCCCACGCAAATGCTAGCAGCATGCATACGGCGCGGCGTAAGTCCACTGGGCTGCCTGTTGCTAACGAGAAGGTCTCAGTGCTTATCGAAGTCGTGCTCACACATGTGTTGCTCCCACTATCACCATGGCCGTGTTCATTGTGATTAGTAATTGCAGTAGTGCGCTGTTGCACATGGGCACTGTCTTCGTTGGTTGTCATCATTCTGGCTGCTACTGACTGATGTCTGCTAGTTTCTCCGTTGTTGCTGCGCGGCTGCTGTTGCTTTCAATGTGTTGTTCTCAAGTCAATCATTCCCACACCCATTCAGTTGTTTCATTGCTAGGGCCTGTCCAACTTCGCAAAAGCAAGGGCAGTTGCGTACTCTGCGATCCTTCAACCAAGGGTCGGTTGTAAGGAAACTTTATTCAGCAGCTCGTGCCCTCCATCGCGTTGTTGGCAGAAAGAGCACAACGATGTTCAGCAGGAGCTGCACAAAGTGCAGTCACGGACCTGCGTTTTAGCTGTGAGAAGAAAGGTTTGCCATGCTGTTTTGTGCAAGCATGCGATGGCGAAGGTGCTGAGGGCATGTGAAGCATGAACGTGGATGACACGTAAGTTCCTTTGATTTGACGCAGGCTTACTGGCGGCTTTCCCATGCAGGCCCTGGGCGTCTCTGCCCCATGCTTCTAGTATTGATGTAGAGAGAGATTCATAGAAACCTGATGTCCAACAGCTAAGGTTGACAGCAAACGGGGCGAGGGAGGGAAGAAGGGAGCTAGTGGAGTTACAGTAGCTGGGCAAAGATTAGGGCAAACTGTTCGTACGGCTTGTTCTAGGTAGACCTTCTGGGTAGACCATCGTGAAGCTGCAGTCGGAACCTGTCTTCTACCCTGCGTCCACTGCACAAACTACCCCAAACCTTGTCTTCCGCCGAAAAGGTCGACCTGGAATCTCGCCGCAAGGACCAAATTTTCTTTTCCGCAAACCATTGTGAACATTGTCATTAAATACTCTGAATACCCGCAGGGTAGCAGTTGACTGGGGCATGGAAAACGTTTGGCTCAAGGCTCGAAGTGCCATCCAATCCTTGTGTTTCGTCCCACCTTTTCCACCTAGCACTCAGTCCTGTCCGATGGAGAAGTGTGAGCCTAAGGCTAGAGAGAAAGGGTTTGCTGATGCAACGAGGCTCTAACTTGTTCAACCTGTTCCATGAGTGCCGGTGTTGATTACACATCTATTTAGAAGCTCGGAACTCGTCATTTTAAATTTCAGAGGTATATGAAAGGTCACGGACAACAGAAGGACTGAACCCATGACTTCCACGGTAAAACCGCCACCATCCATCAGCATAGGGCAATCCCCAGGATCGCACGGTGGGCGGTTTACATGGGGCTGGATGAGCCCTGCTCGTCCCACAAGACGAGTATGCACCTACACCAGGTACAAGTAAAATCAAGAACAATAGGCATCTCATTACTGCAGGGTAGTAAAAAGAGGCCCAGGCCCTGTGTACATTTTCTCAGGCCAGTGGAGTGATTCATCCGCCGATCAAAGTTGCACTGCCACCCTTCTTAAGAGGGAGGTCCAGGAGTTTCTTGCATTTGGAGTGTGCCCAAAATCCCAACAGCTCGAGGAGAAGTGTATCACCCCCATCATCCTTTGTATGGTCTCAAGTTAACGTAGTTGCCTGGATTTTCATCGCAGCCGGTATATTCATCGTCCTGGACACTGTGATTTCCATGCCGTTCGAGCCCTGAGGCCTCAACAGCGCAACAACAGCCTGGAGCGTGAGCTTGAGAGGTGGCATACCCAGGGGAGTTTTGGAGATTACTGGAAAGGTCACGGGGATCGCAAAGGGGGGACTAAGCTAAATTACAATACAGCTTGCATGGAAACACTGAGCACGACCTTTTCCCATTGCTGCCGTCAAAATGTTTAGGGCTTAGGGTTCCAAACCTCAAGCCCATCAGAATGGGACTCCGGGACGTTGATCGTGCCTGCCGCGCCATGCGTGTGTGAAAGCCGTAAACCTCCGAAGCGTACAATGCAAGCGGCAAAGACCCCCTAAACCCCGTGCGTGTGGCATGACAGGTCAAAGAACCCTTGCGAGACTGTACAGCAGAGGGTGACGAAGGACAGGAGGCGAAGCAATCTGATAGCTGCTCAAGCGGGTTTTGCGAAGCTTTTGGTGATTTGTCTTGAAAAGGGGTCTTGAGTCTTCCAGGATTTCCATGATGAGGGAGAATAGGACTTGCACTGAGGGCGCCGCGGGGTCATCAAAAATCAGGAGCACCTTTTTCGGGGGTTCGAGGGACCTTTTTGGAAATAGCCATAGTATGGTGTGCATAGCACGAATGAGGATGCTTTGTCTCTTTGTGGTTCCCATATTTGTTCAAAGAGGCTTGTCCGTGCTCAAAGAAACCATAAGTGGTACAACGCGCTCTTGTCCCTACACCTAGTCTACGCAGGCCAGTCTGTTGCTTCCTCTTTATGAGCGGCTGCCACAAGATTGTGAGGAGATGATTGGGTCATCCAGGCATCCTTATATCCACAGATTAAAACAAAACGATATCCTTTCCCACCCGCTGCCTCAAGTGGGTATGAAGTCTTTGCACTGCACAGGCGCAGCAGCCGCAGCCGCAGCGCCGCCCGCCAGGACCAGGACCAGCCGGAGGCTGTGGATGATGGGTGTAGGGTTTAAAGGTTTAGGGGTTTAGAGTCTAGAGCTTAGGAATCACGACTAAGATCTGGAGATCACGTATGATTATCTACATAATCCGTCCCATATTCGCTTCCCACTCCCTTTGGTAATCCTGAGAGTTTCTCAAAATCACCTGTATGGTACTTCTTATCTCGGAGCAGACATCGAGATTAAGAATCCTTAGTGAACCCGATATCCATGGGGTCGCGAAAACCCTGTGTTGAGAACCCCCCCCCCCCGTGCGAGTAGATAGTATATGATGCGTGCACGTGCATGCAATGAATTATGCGCATGCTAATGCTGACACGTACCTCAACGCTATTGCTACTTGCAGGTGCGTTTCATGTGTTCTTGTTCTTCTTGTCATTCTTGTTGCTGCTGCTGTTGCTATTTTGTCTCGATTATTCGCATCATTGCCATTGCTGCTGCTATTGCCTGCTATTGCCAATTTGTGGTGATTACTCGCGTGACCCCATTTGTATGATCATCAGATCAGTTTGATGGTGACGATTGTAATTGCCATGGCTTATTGACAAAATACATGCACCGATGACGACTATGCTAGTGCCGTGTCAGCAGCAGCAGCAGCAGTAGCATGATGAACATGAGGAGAAGCGTTGACTGTGATTAACTCCGGGCAGCAGAAGTTTCAGCATATGGATCACGCGAAGAGCAAAGAGAAGACGCCGAAAACAGGAAAGCCAGCAAGTGGTCCCGAGCCAGTGCTAGAATCTGCTAGATTGAAGTTCGACAATGAAGCGGAGGCTGTACCATGCACGGCTACCAGGTCTCCGGCCGATGCACTTACCAAGACGCCTACCGAACAATTATTGTGAGCACAGGCAAGAACAGTGGGCTCATGGTCAGCTGCACACACCGCACTTCTGAAAGCGTCGTAAGGCGGTTCAAAGACAGCACATCAACGCAGATGGACGGCAGCAAGCCAAACCGAAACAGTTCAAGAAGCAGGGACGCCGTGATCTGGAATGAGTCTCATCAAAAGGCAGATCCCATGCCATTGATGTGCCGTGCCCAACTGCTGTAGGCTGGACCCGACAGCAAGGCCAGGGCGGAAGAACGGCTTGTTCGAGGCGGGGGGCCTGGATGCTGATTGTTAGTCAGGAATGAAAGAATTCAACAAAGGATAACAAAGGAATCTAGTACATTATTGGGCATGATAAACAGGGGCTGTTGTAGACATAAATTCTGCCATCTCCCACCAAGTCCTTTGTACTTCAGAGATCCTAGTGCTTTTTGAGATTTATACTTTGCACTTAGGGTTTAGGATTCCATCCGGAAGGATTCGAGTTCCGATGTCAAGGCTTGAAACTCATACTAATTTTCCATGTGATTTTCCATTATTGGGGCATATGTATGCATATGTAACACCCTAAACGGTGGTCTTCGCAATCTTTTGTTTTCCATGTAAGAAGCCCGCGCCGCTAAGAGGCAACTTTCTTCTGTCGAATTTCGCGGTTTATGGTGCGCTTCGGGTCAGTTAGCATTGGATAGGACGAGGTGATCAAGGGCCTTGCAAGGATTGTTGATTTGCATTTTCTTCAGCCAAACAAGAGTAGCGGTTGCAGTTGCTGCTGCTACAGACCATTCTGGTCTCAGAACCATGGAGTATACCGATGATGCCTCTGTTGTAGCACGGTGCGGCAGCCGTGGCAGCTGAAGCATGCAGCCCTGGCACGATGCATCAGTCTTACAAGAGCGGAAGCAGTGCGGTCAGGTGTAGTCGTAAAGCATAATATGAGGTTCGAGTCTTGCAGCTAGATTCTTTGGCCTCTGGCATTTTTCGAGTACAACTTCCTAACTAGTAGTAGCTCGTGCTCTGCGCCGTGGTCAAATTAAGGCTTTCTGGCAACTCTAAGATGGGAGCCCCGAGATTGTCAATGGCATCGGAAGTCAGTTGTCTGGGCAACCCTGTGTCTCCAAGAAGTCTTGTGGTTTTCTTTTAGGGGCTCCCATCCCTGTGTAGTTTAAGGCAAGAAAAAACCCGATATCACAAAGAGACTCCGCATTGAAACCTTCCCTGGTCCATTTTTCAGGTCTGCACGAATTCCCGGTGCTACACCTCAACTTTACCCTGAGAAATAGCTGTTCTCCCATCAACAACAAGATAGCCATGAGAGTAGGATGAAGCACAGCGTAACACGAACAATTCAGCAGCTCCCCGAGCAATTCTGGATGACGAGGTTCTCGCAGACATCATCACCGCCGACCTGTGCGTGGCAAGACTGCAGAGAACGGTACAGGGCCGCAATAACAGCAA